TCTTATGATGTTAAAATATGAAATTGTACTCTGCTTTATTTTAAAACATAATACACTTCTTTCAAATTTGAAACCATACTTTAAAAAATGGTTACAAATTTCATAGTGCAGAAATTTATATTTCAACTGTCAAGTAAAAACACAGTGAGATATATGGAAAATATTTTTAAAATATTTAACCTAATTAGACTGTCTTTCATAGTTTATGTCTATTAAAACTAACCAACTATAATTTAATACTTAAGCATTTTACACCACCAAAATATTAAGAAACCCAATAAATGGACTATAGCCTTTTGTTACAATATACATACTGTATGCTTCACACAAGATAATCTTTCACTATTAGAAAACATTAAGCTATGTACTATTCTTAATTAAGCCCCCATTTCAGTTAAAGTAAAGCAATTTGCTATTTAATTATAATAATACAAAGTGCAATGTAACTAATGACATAGTACGCATTTGCATTGGATAATTAGAGTAGTCAGTAAATAAAGCTTTACAAAGCAGGAAATAAAAACAGGTGAGGGATTTGTGCTCATTCATCACCTTGCTGACTAACGAGAGCTGGAATGCAGATCAGTCATTTCCCAGCACATTCCTTAACATGCACAGTCATCGCACATGGTGTAAACAGTTCTGCTAAGCTAATGTAACCATTAGGGAGGTGTCAGCTCAGAAATCCGCAGAGAAACAAGTGATAAAATAGTCTATGGCTAAAACTAACTCATTCATCAAGAAAGACAGAATAAGTATTAGGAATGCCCAGACTGGATGCCCTGTGATGGAAACGAATAATGGGAATATTAATTATATTATTTTAAATTAAGAACACTTTAGAAAACCCCAAATCTAGTAAGTTTACTCTCTACCCAGACTTGAATTATACCTAGAAATATGACAATGGTGAAATGCTTGATTTTACAAACCACAGAGGAGATTTTTCTGCTTTAAGTTGGAGAGAAAAATGCATAGGGCCTCTTGATAAGAGTAATAACAAGATCAGACACCAAATTTTGACATTTTCACATTAGAGAAATTGAGTTCTACCAAAATTTGATCTGTTAAATAGGCAATGCTCTCCTTTTGGAAGGGGTGGTATGTAGCTTATGCATCTTCATTCTACCATCCTATCAGTGAAGCCAGCACTCTGGTCTCATCGGGTACTGTGGATAACGCCTAGGTGTTGGTTCAATCAAATTACCACTGGCTATTAAATGACAATTCTGATTAACTTACAATTTACAGAGCAGCTCTTGATTTAAGAATTTATTGTGGATGTAGCAGAAGAGATAATTATAAAATATTTTTTTCTGAACAGATTTTGGGGCAGAGTTCGTAATGTAGAATATGGGTGAATTATTTAGGTTCTCTGCTATTCTCATTTGCACAGATTCTGAAATCCAATTTGGCTTATTGGTGTTTTGGCTCCAAATGCATAAACCTCCCCAATTCAAAATACTGCTTGCTTTAAATTCAACCTGGTGAGTTCTTATTATCTCTCCTTGGCATCATGTTTTGTCAATTACATGAGCGAGTGGATAATACAACATGTAAGATATACATTCTGCTTTACCACTGGGCTGTGACTACTCTGATGGAAGGACCATTCTGTTCTCTTTTTAAATCAAGTGAAGAGAAGCAGAAAATCTTTCCAGGACCTAGCACAGAGCCTTTGTCACAGCAGTGCCTAAAATAAATGCTTATTTTTTACAAAAAAAAAAAAAAGTAAAGAAACCAATTATCTCAAGGCAATAACCTGAATACTAGAGGGAGGTAAACAGATAATAGCAGTAAGTTCACATTTTTGTTAACATATAGGTATAGGCAAAGAGCAGCAGCCAAAACTATTTTCAAAATTAAGAAGGAAGAGCAGAATTATGATATTACAGACAGCATCTTCTATGCCTTTCTCATCACAATTGTGGCCAACAGTTTCAAAGCCAGTCAACAGCGAATACGCAGTTATTCTAAAAACCATCCTCAAGCACTTTTTTTCTCTTGGGCCTCCTTCTACAGACATTCCTCTATTCTGAGAAGGTAATTAAGAAAATATGATTCTGCTAGACATATTTTGTCCCCTCTCCTTTGGAACTTCTACTGGTGACAGCCTTCAAAAAACTAGAAAGCTCCATGCCAGCTACCCCTCATCCCTTGGCCCACGCTCTGAAAGTACAGATTCAGAGGAAGCAGCATATATGGACAGGCTGACATCACAACAGCACACCCTGAAACGTAATTATTGCAGAGAAATATGAAATGTTGTTTTCTTCCCCTAGAGATTCTTTAAGATGATAAACAGCCTCACAGCTGGAAGGAGAGTGGATTTGATAAGTGTACTTGATCAGGCAAAGGGATAATGGATGGATATTACTACTCCCTTTGCCAAGGCTATTGTGTGAATTTGGGTAAGTCACTGCTATTTAGTGAATAGGATTGAGAGTGGATAAAACACATAATAAAAACATTCATACAGGTTGCCAGGAAGAAATTAAAACTGTTCCTATCAGCTCTCAAATGGTCACCTAATTTCTTCCAGTTTGACCTGAAAACATCAGAGAATACATAAAGGAAATGACACATATTTTTCACTATATACAATTTTCTGTAATCTTCGAAATTAAAAAGTTCTAATGTAAAATAGAGTCTTATAAAAAACTTGAAGGCCTTGGTTAATGAATTTTCAAGAGGCATAGATATAAAGATAATAGAGGATTCAGTATTTAATAGTTTTTAGAAGTTTTCCTTTATGTACTGAAAAATATCGCCATTATACACTAAGGATAGATTTAACTAAGGAAAAATCCTCTTGGCCATTAGAAATAAACACTAAGTAGAGATAAATATGCTTTAAAATAATCCAATTTCTTATGCTTAATTCAAGAGGCTAGAACTAACTAGATGATGTCAGCACCTCACAATAACTGACTGAAGTTTTGCAAAGATGTAGGCCCACACCTGTCTCTCTTAGTTTTAGTAGGACGTTACCCAAGTTCATGACCTTCCAGGAAGCATTAAGAACTAGCTCCACGGAATCTTAGAGTAGAACGTTGGGTGAACATTCATTCCAGTACTTTAAACTTGCGGTCCTTAGCTCCAAGGTGGGCTCGTATGGTACTGATTGCTTTTGGAAATTATGTAAAAATATGTGTACTCAGAACATGCATTTTATGAGATGGCTATGTTTCATCAGAATTTCAAAGTGGCCTGTGAACTTGAAAAGGTTCACGAAAGAACTATGAAAGGAGCCTAACTTCCAGTTTACAAATCAGCCTGGAGATCTGAAATAATGGCTCTAAAGAGAAACCTACAACAGCTGTAAAACACCTGGAACCAGGTCTCTAGATAACCAATTAACTCAGTGCGCGATTGGACTACCAGACCCATATCAGTTTTCTCCGAGGGCAGGTAGGAAAAGAATGTGTTAAATGCTCACAGTGTTTTTGTAACCAGATTTTATTTCAGAAAGAGTAGTTTCTAGGTCAGAATACTATCTGTAAATAAAAAGTCTGAAGACATGGAAGGTTATATACGTGGTTACATGAGCCAAAGAAAAAACTCATGGGCCTCTAAACAAACGTCATGCTGCCTCCCAGCCAACCTCAGACCCAGTCCTGTCTTAAGACCATGCAGCCTGTGCCATGATCTTCAACCTGACAGAGAAAGCCTGAGGACCTCGAAAGACAAAATGGATCCTGAGATGTCACCTTCTACAATAAGGAACTACCTCAATTAACACGGCCCAATGGTGTGGACTCTCCCCATCTCACTGCCCCCCAAACACACACACACACACACACAATTATAGACAAGTACAGGGTAGATATATAACATACAAATGAAAACAAACCATCTTTAACTGATTAACCAAATAATTAATTTCATGATTTCTCATGATTAATTTTAGGAAAGAATGTCACAAAAATAAACAATTAAGAAGAAATGCACACTAATCTTGCCAAACCACCCTGTATATCTTCTTGGCATTTCTAAAACAAGAAAGCTGTTTATAAACATCTAAGTCCATATGCTAGCTCTACAGTTTACATACAGTAGGATGTTAGGCAAATGACAATCTCTCTGTGACTTGAGTTCCTTATTAGTAAAATAGAGACAAGAACAGTACTGACCTTTTTGGGTTCTTGTGAGGATTAAATGTGGTAATACATGTAAAGTGCCTAGAACAAAGCTGCATATTTTATGATGATAAACAGCTATCATCATCATCACTATCATCATCACAAAGAGGTACATATGCCATTAAGTACTTATGGGGGAGAAAGAGTTAAGGAGGAAGCTTAAGATAAAATTGTCTATTAACAAAGTGCTCCAGCTATCATGAAAATTCAAACTACCCCCTAGGAGAATACCGGAAAGGCTGTTCAGCCCAGGTTTTTCTTGGGGACACATTCCCACAGACTTGGCACACGAGGGTTCTCCACCCAAATGGGTTGAGAAGGTTGGGCTGATCTGGGTCAGTGGAGCAGCTCCCTTCCCTCCTTGTAACTGTAGGCTGGGCAGCTCAGGTGCTTCTAGTCTCCGTCACACCAGCTTGTTGCATGGGAGATCTGATTCGTCCAAGTGTTCCATCTCTGCAATATCTCTGACCAGCGGCTTAACTGAGGGAAGCGCACTTAGGAATTGGCTTCTATGAAAGTGAAATGCTTTGATGACAATTTTAAAGATAACGTGACACTCTTGGAATCTATGGAGGGGAACAGTATCACTGATGCAACATCACCATCAAATAGTGAAAACCTCAAATCACGTTTGGCTTGAATGATTCTGTTAGGATCATGCTATCCCATGAAGGGACCCATCTAAGGCCACGGAACACTGAAGAACTAATAGCTTCCAACAGAAGGACAGATGCCAAGACTCCCAATGGTGTCAGTCACGGACATCACACAAGTAATGACCCATCCAGTGTCTATTTGTTACGCCACAATCTTGAATATTCCAACTTAAAATACGTTGTTGAAAACAAAGAGTTTTACCTTTTCATATTCAGCAATGCCCAAGGTATTCCAGTGGGAGTGTGAAATGCAGGTAGCAATTTTAGCCCAAGTTCCACTGCTTTCTTTCGAAATATCTGAAAAAAACAGTTAAATAAGCTACTGTTGTAAGCAAAACAAAAAGTACTGTACTACTATCTCACATTTAGCACTTTTCTACTTTAAAATTTTCTTTATATGAAAAAATAGAAATTTCTCAAACAATAGAATTACCTAGCAAAGCAAGAGTGGTCCAGGGGCCATCGTACTGTGGGGAATTTATTCCCAATCTTGGTTGCCCATTAGAATCATGGGGGGAGATTTGAACAATACTTATTCCTGGGTCGCACTCCTGAGATTCTAATTTGTGTGGTTTGGGGCTTCCAGATGAGAATCTTTTAAAGCACCATAGGTGATGTCAGGTGATTCCCATGTGCAAGCAAGGGGGAGAACCATTGATGCTGGAAGACAAGTCCCGGACTGAAAGTCAGGAGGTGGGGTCCTGTTCCAGCTTCACCTACTTACTAGTGCACAGAGAAAGGAGGAGTTTTAAAAATACGTATTATAATAAGTAATCCAGTTACACTAATGTTGATGCTATTTCTGAAACCCTACTCTTTTGGAATCTAACTCGCATTTAGTAATGAAAGTTAAGAAAGTAATGAGTTTTAATGTAAAAATTTGGTAGACAATCAATTTAGATAAAGTTAACATTCCTGATCTACAAATAAGGACACAGACATTTGTAGTATATAGAAAGTGCTCAAAAAGAGAGGTACCATTTTTCTCGACAAATTATTATAACTTTATTTAAAGTGGATAATTTCCTGTTTCAAGAACTAATAGTGTGTGGAAGGAGAGGAGAAAGAAAAATAGACCAAGAAGTATATTCTTCTTCCTTCTCTTTCTCTGCCTTACCCTAGAGATCTCCAAATTTTCTTCTGCTGTAAGGGATTATCCAATCACTGCCCAGTCATCTGTTGACTTTCTAGTTTCCAGCCAACTTTTTAAACTGTTAATTAATTAACTCTTTTTCAAGAAACTTACATCAGATGGAAGTCAAATTATGTATCTAAAACACCATCATAGATGTGGATGGACCTCGAGGGTATTATGTTAAGCGAAATAAGCCAGTCAGAGAAAGATGAACTCCATATGACTCCACTCATAGGTGGAAGTTAGCATATTGATAAGGAGATCTGATCGGTGGTTACCAGGGAAAAGGGGGGGTGGGGGGAGGGCACAAAGGGGGAAGTGGTGTACCCACAACATGACTAACAAAAATGTACAACTGAAATCTCACAAGGTTGTAATCTATCATAACATTAATAAAAAAAAGAAAACACCATCATAGATATTATAAACATATGGCATGGGAGTTAAGGGCGCAGGCTTCGAATGATTGAATTTGAATACAATGACTGTATTCAAATCTCAGCTCCATTTCTTCATATTGCCTCATCTTGGGCAAATGGCTTAATCTCTCTGTGCCTAAACTTCCTCATCTATAAAATGCGAATAACAATAGTGTTTACTATTTTAAAAATTGTGGAAAGAAATGAATGCATTATTATATTTAAAGACCTAGGACACGTAGTAATCACTCTAGAAGGGGAGTTGTAGTTTTTATGGTGCTAATGATAAAGGGATTTCCTCAAGAGCTTTCCCTATTTACTGCATGAAATTTCTTCTAGTCTTGGCTTTTCTTCAACTACTGTTTTGGTACCTTCTACTCAGGTTCTCTCTCTATCTGTGTGTGTGTGTGTGTCCCTTCCTCCCAATACACACACTCTTTTTTTTTTTTTTTAAACATTTTATTTTTTTCCTTTTTCTCCCCAAAGCCCCCTGGGTACATAGTTCTATATTCTTCCTTGTGGGTCCTTCCAGTTGTGGCATGTGGGACGCTGCCTCAATGTGGTTTGATGAGCAGTGCCATGTCCGCACCCAGGATTTGAACCAACGAAACACTGGGCCGCCTGCAGCGGAGCGCACGAACTTACCCACTCGGCCACAGGGCCAGCCCCCCAATACACACACTCTTAATCATAAGCATTCATTCTCAAGAGCTAAGTCCTCAGTTCTCATCACCTGTTTGCATTCCCAAATTCAACTTTGCATTTTAGCTACAGTTCTGAACTCACGCTTGCATGCTCACATCACAATTTGCGTGTCTTGTTGTCTTTTGAGACTTAACATGCCCAGGATGAAATAATCATTTAATGTCCCAGGCAAACTTCCCCCAGTTCCATCACTGACACTACTGTTCAGCTAGTTCCTGGGGCTCAAGAGAAAATGCATTTTGACTTTTGATTTATCGCTCTTCAGTCATCAAGTATCAATGTTAATTTCCCTGAAATGTCTCATATACAGCTCATTCCCTTTCCATGATAAGAGCATAGTCCATATTCTCTTCTCTGGGTACAATGAAGTGGCATGATAAAAAAGAAGGTCCTTGGGGCTGGCCAATGGCTGAGTGGTTAAAGTTCCACATGCTCTGCTTTGGCGGCCACGGTTAATGGGTTGGGATCCCAGGTGTGGACTTATTCCACTCATCAGCCATGCTGTGGAGGCATCCCACATATAAAGTAGAGGGAGATTGGCGAAGATGTTAGCTCAGAGCTAATCTTCTTCAAGCAAAAAAAGAGCAGAATTGGCAACGGATGTTAGCTCAGCATGAATCTTCCTCACACATACACAAACACACATACACACAAAACGAAGGTCCTTTTACCTAGTCTCTCATTCTCCAGGATTTCCCCTCCTGTCTCCATTAATCAATCTGCATCTATATTACAAATTTTTCTTTTTATGATACAACTTTCTTGTTCAAGAAACCATAATGATTCCCTCTGTTGTCTAAAACATCAGGTCAAAACTGATCTACTGACTTTCCAATGACCTCTATGAATCAGACCAATTTATTATCTTCTGTTCTCTCAAAGACCACTCTGGCTCCAGCTTGAGTCTTCATAGTCTCAAGCACTCATTCAAGTTCAGTCCACTTTAATATCTTTTTTTTAATGTCTTTCCCCCAGCTTTCTTGCGATAAAAGTGACATATAACACTGTGTACAATGTGATGATTTGATACCTGCATATATTGTGAAATAATTATCACAATAAGGTTAGTTAACACTTCCATCTTCTTGCATAATTACCTTTTTCTGTGTGTGTGTCGTGCCACCTTAGTGTGTATTTATTTACACAATTCTCTCATCCCCAAACACCCTTTTCTGTCTCCTTTTGGCCAATCCAAATTCACCCATTCTTCAAGGCCCAGGTCAAGTCAATGCCAGGCTGAAATCTTTGCCTTCTGTGAACTCCCACAGTGACAAAAGGCATCACACAAGGTGGCATCTGATTACAGAAAGCTAAATGTTCTCTTGTGTTAATCTCTTGTATCCCCAAGTAATTTTCTTTTCTTTCTAAAGGTAGAGAAAAAGACCTCCATTTCTCCTTCATTGCCTATTATCCAACCCAGATTAGGCCATTTTGTATTTAATTTATTGCTATCACCACAGTTTTCCTATCAGTAGTGATTGGAAAGATAAGTATAATCTCAGTTAACAGGAAGCAGTGGCCCTTCCCATCACAAGGTTTTTGCCTTTGCTGTTTCCTTTGGCTGCAAAGCTCTTTCCCTAGCTCTTCACAAGCCTAGTTCATGCTTAACTTCAGGAATCTGCAGAAGAGAGGTCTTTCTTAACAACCCCACATAAAGCTGGCAGTTCTCATTTACTGGTTATCATATCACTTTGTTTATTTCCATCCCACTATTTATCACATCCTAACTATTTTTTTATTTTTATTTTTTGGTGAGGAAGATTGGCCCTGAGTTAACAACCATTGCCAATCTTCCTCTTTTTGCTTGAGAAGATTGTCCCTAAGCTAACATCTATGCCAGTCTTCCTCTATTTTGTATGTGGGATGCTGCCACAGCATGGCTGGATGAGCAGTATATAGGTCTGCACCCAGGATCTGAGACAATGAATGCTGGGCTGCCAAAGTGGAGCCAATGAACTTAACTGCTACACCACGGGGCCAGGCCCCTAATTATCTTATTTGCTTTCTTGTTAAATGTTTGACAACTCCACTAGACGTAAGCTTCATGAATGCATGAACTTTGTGTTGTTAGTTGGTATATCCATATACCTAGTATCCTGCAAAGTAACTGGTACTCAATACATGTTAATTTAATAAATGAATGAATCGATCAAAGATTAACACACTGGGGCAGTGTAATGAGAAACCATTGATATTCTACTGTTTGCAAAGTGCTCTATCCTATTCCACTGGTTTCTACTGTCTGCAAATAATTATGTCAAGTGTTCTGGAGTCTCCATCTTGGACACAATTACAAAACAGTTTCAGATGAAAACATTAATTAACCTATTGATGCTTTAAATGAAATCAAACGTGAGCTTGAGTCAATTCCAATTCTTAATGTTTGATTTGTTACTTCCTCCTGAGAGATGAGGAGAGGTTACTTGGAGGAGGAATCCAGATTCTCAAAGAAAACATCTTTCTACCTAAATTGGTGAGTATGTGATAAAATTCCAAACTAGCTTATAAAGTTAATATTGTTAAAAGAATAAAGGAGAAATGTTACAAATCATTCTAAAGGGCAGTTAAGGTTTAACCAGCACATTTTGGATAATGTGCAGAAAAGCAAATGAGCACAAAAAGTTTACTAAGTGATACTTCATATTCCTTCAAATGGGGCAGGCCTGATGGATGGGGCCAGAACGTGGATCCTAGGATGGCTCTCCTACAGCTTCCACGGGATGCCTGGGCCTGTCACTTAACTTCTCTTGTTCTCAGTTTCCCCAGTGAAATGGGAGACCAGGGCCGATAATTTCTACTTTTGATTTATCACTGGAAAAACTAGCACTCAGAAGTCACAAAGCTAGTACTAAAATGAGACTGGCAAAATAGCAAAATTATTACCATTTTCTTATAAAGGTAGAAAATGCTAATTTGCCACCCAATTCTTAGTGAATCTTGGTTTCCAAGGTTTGTTGCTACTTACATTTGGTGGGGAAGATTTTATAAAGTTAAGAGGGCAAGATGAAAAATGACAGTTAATAAAATGTAACTCATGC